TTGAGGTTCTTTTTATTTGCACCCTGCTTCAAGACTCAACCTTTGATCGAACTTCTGTTTCTTTGAAAGAGTGCCTATCCAATTGGAACTTCTACTATTTCCACTCTGAAAAAACTTAAGTCTGAAGTACCTCTTATTCTGTTAGCTCTTTCTTGTGTACTCGTTTTTTGCTTTGTTTTTTAGCACTTCAAGGGGAACTGTGAGCTACAATTTTTTTTTGCCGTAAATCGAGCCAGCCGCCTGAATCGGCATTGTTTATTATAGAACATTTTGTACGCATCCAACGGGAGGATGGGGGACTAGTCAGTACAGCTTCATCATGCCAGCATGTGACGCCCACAAACCTGTACATAGGGGAAGAAAACTATGCCACACAAAAAATAGTGGCAGATTACGACTGTTGGTGCCTCACGCTCTAGGAGATTAAGAGGAGAATGCTTCGAAGTGTTGCCGGAATCAAATGGCGCACTTCGAGTAGCGCCGGGCAGCTTGCAACAAAGGATTGACACAGCAGCAGCGTGATGTCTTGCAACGCGAAGTAAAAGGGGGTTGGGAAAGATACAAAATTAACCTCCAGAAAACACTGATATATATATATATATATATATATATATATATATATATATTTATTTATTTATATTTATATATATATATTTATTTATTTATATTTATATATATATATATATATATATATATATATATATATATATATATATATATATATATATATATATATATATATATATATATATATATATATATATATATATAATGGGGCATTCCATATCAAGTGTACCCGGTCAATTTTTGACCATCTCCCCCGATCACGAGAAAAACCGTGCAGGTATATGTGCACGTGAGAACTAGTTAATGAGGCGTTATATATCTCTAAAGATTTCGGGTTGCCTAGCGCACGCTTAGAACTCGGGTCACTCAAGTGAAGCTTTGTCAGTTTGAATATTTTGGACAATGCTATTTGTTGGAATAACTATTACAAAACCAGTTTTTTATTCTTCTCATAAATATGATAGTTTATATTGTAACAGAATAGAAAGTTGGGCGAGTTGGTGTATATTCATATTAAAAGAAAAGCGGCGCACAAAAAGACGGAGACGGTGTGTGGTTCTCTTCTTTGTCTCCGTCTTTTTGTGCACCGATTTTCTTTTAATATGATAGTTTATTTTCTTTTTGTTATATTGCCTTTCATTTTCACCTTGTCGAAAAATTTTATTACGCTACATGTTTAGCGTTTTTTTTTCATAAAAAGCTAAATCTTCTTCGCCAGCAATACATTTACATTATCTGCTTTTTAGGTTCCAATATTATATGAATAAAGTACTTCGGAAGCAAACGAAGCAAAAATCTTGCCAAGATATTGTGGCAAAGCTTGGAAAAACAGCATTTAGACTCATATTGCGGTTTATTTTCCCCATGTAGGGTTTCAGGCAAAAATATGGCTTTTAAATTGTTGCATTGCGTTGTTTGACAGCAATATAAGCAGAGAGTTTCAAAAGAGTTATTTCTGTTTCAGGGAGAAATAAATTTTTCAACTGAGCAACCATAAGCGACCAGGAAGCCTGCGTTTGCCTCACCTTTACTGCATAGCACGCCCGCGGAACTTTTCAGCGGTGACTTTTCAGCGGAGAGTAATGCATGTCATACAAATGTCTATGGCTTCTTTTAGTAATACTGCAGTGTGTTACGTCAAAGTGTGGCAGTAGTGCTTTCTTTAAGAAACAGTATCTTCCACCTCAGACCACCAATGGACAGGTTATAATGAACCACTTCTTAGTCCCCATGAGCAGAATTATAATGCATTCGATGGCCTGCAATACAATATTGAGGCGTTGTGTTTGGCTTCTGATAATCAATACACCTTGTTTTAATAATAATTAACGACATATGTAAAGCATATTTTCTTTGAGCTGTTTTTATTATGTTTCAGGTTTAGACCGGTGCGTGATCGCTTAACACTGGTGGACCTGACGAAATGATATGTCCTAGGTGTACACGTTGGAGATGATTTGATATCACGCTCAGAAACGAGGCTTGAGTTTGCCATTTTCCGGTTGTCATTTAGGCTTTTCATACGCCTATATTTAATATTGCCTGTGATGTTGAAAGCACGTCAACATTACCGGATGGGCTTTTAGTTAAAACATTCTCAGCACCTTCGGACCGTTTACAAAGAGGGGGATGAAAATACTAAAATTCTCCCGAAATGCAACCGCCTCTGCCATGGTCGAACCGACGACCTTCGAGCCTACAGTTAAACACCTTAACCACAACACCACTGCGGCCTATACCTCTCAAGTCTCAAGACTTTTTTGTTTAAGTGCTTCATTTTCCTTTTAAGCCCACTTCCTTCCTGTTTCGCCAGTGATGCATTCTGCACACAACCCGGGGTTAATTCGTCAAAATAGTCGGTTGGGTCGAAGATGTGGCCACCTGACCTTCGATTTTCTGCGTTCTTCCACCAATGGAGTGCTAGATCACTCTCTACTAATTAGCTATATAATGAAGCCATACAAGGGTGAGGAAGGACTCCTTCAAAAAAGATGTCCTATCTGATGAGCTGGCAACCCGCTTCCGCTGTGTCACGCCTGAATGGACGACGACCTCGTACTAACACGTTGTATCGGGCTTCCACTCGATTCAAGGCATAAACGACCGGAGTTCCGTATCAGCTTCTATATACAATCCGGTCTTTGTTAGGCCGTCTGAAGGCCATCTAATACTTGAAGAGCCGATGTGGCCTCTCATTTTTTCTTTCAGCGCACGTGTTGTATCTTTGAATTGGGTTGCGACATACTTGTTCGAGCAGCTGTACTTGTACTTGATCACTGGTTCAATTTCGTCTATGATGCATTTCGCTTTGCATAGCAATAGTGCCGTGATTGAGCAATTTTTATAGGTCCATTTCTAAAAATGATCTTAGCACATGTCTTTTGGTTAATAATAAGAATTATTCATGGGAACTAATGTTCCGAAATCACGATGTGATTATGACAGATACCTCAGTGAATGGCTCCAGAAATTTTGATCTCCTCGTTGATTTTTTGGGGATGGAAGGGTACCTTTATGAATTACTTTTTGGTCAATGTGCCATGGTCGAAAAGTTTTGGTGGAGGGGGGCATGGGCCCCGCGTGCCTTCCTGTGCTGAGCAATACTTGCAAAACAAATATTAGGGTTCTGCAGTAAGTACAAGCGCAAGCGCTCATAGTGTGTCTTGGTCTCCCTGATGTACGACGACAGAGGCAACTTTGCGATTGCTCATGACCATCCAACGCAAACTCACATTGTTGTGATGGTCCTCAAAACGCACCTCTGAAACTCTGCACGAGCTCTTTGTCATCATCTTGCCACACTGTCCTCGGACATCTGTGGTCGCCTGTGCTGAAACAACTGCATGAGGGGTAGTGCGCGGACAGCGTATACATATATACAGTAATTATATTCCGATGGTTCAGCAAACCTTCCGTGTTCATCTGGTGCAGTGGTTGTCCCAGCAAGAGCTATAACCATCAGCTCTAGAACTGACCTTCCCAAGACGTCGACAGCTGCGGAACTAACCGCTTTGAGCCCTGCGCATCGCTTCGTCGCTCTGGAACCACCTCAATATTGGTCGATCTTCAGCGAATCCAAGGCAGCCCTTAATCTGTGCTATCACCCCTACGTAGCGAGCCATGCGAGCAACTCGTATTTAAAAGTGGATGCCTTCTGTGCATCGCTATTTGAGTGCCAGTTGTTTTGATTTTCTGTTTGTGCTTACTATTGTACTCTCTCCCTGTTATGACCCTGAAGCGAGGGTTGACAGTATTAATAAATAAAAATAAAATTCTTCATACAGCACATGTTAAAGGGCAGCACGTGACGTTTTAGTCACGTGTTGCCATACATACATACATACTACATACATACATACATACATACATAATACATACATACATACATACATACATACATACATACATACATACATACATACTACATACATACATACATACATACATACAACATACATACATACATACATACATACATACATACATACATACATACATACATCATACATACATACATACATACATACATACATACATACACATACATACATACATACATACATACATACTACATACATACATACATACATACATACATACATACATACATACATACATACATACATACATACATACATACATACATACATACATACATACATACATACAGTCGGCTTTAAAAAGTTTAGAGGCTGCAAGGCCCGAGAAAATAGTTTCTCAACAGTACATGCTAGCGCATTTAAAAAGACGTCGGAAACCTGAACACAGGGCTCGCTAGCGATCCAGCAGGAATATTAAGCTGTTTTCTTATATTTAGTGCTCCTTGAAACTTTGTGGCCTGACTGCATACATAAGGGAGTTCTGACCCTACTCCTCGTCTTCTCGTCGTGAAATGAAGTCATGACTGAGCGCATCTCGTAATTACACCTGCTTTGGCCGACGTTACCGTCTCAGAGCTGAACGCAATACAGCGGAACACTGAAAAGTAACATAAAACGCAAATTGTTTCCGCATAACGCACACGCTCGTCTCACAGGGATGCTGAAAGTGACAGCGAAGGAACACGGAGAAGTTCAAATAATTAAAGACGATGGGGAAGGCCTCGCTGATTATGTCATGCTCTGCTATGTAGTGTAATTTCTTGCATGCTTAAATGTGTGTAAGTCCTATTTCACCTCCTTCGTTCTTTTTTTTTCGGCTTTATTTCGTATTTTCCGGGCATTTCGCCTATAGGAATTCCTTTACACGAGCGTATATACGCTCATCGTAATTCCACCATTCGCCACCACTTCAATCTTCCGTGACTTTCGGCGGCGACACCCACACGTAGAGAAGCAGTGGAGCGGCGGGAAGAGAGAGAGGAGGGTTAAATACAGGTGTTTCTATATATAAATTCCTTCCTTCTGTGAACGCTGCAAAAGGCCGATCGACAAGTCTTCGCAACCCGCACCCCCGCCGGCGCAAAACTCGCGCGTTCCACGTAGACCTCAGTCGCAAACGCGTCTGCGTGGCCCGCGCGTTGTTCCCGTTGGGATTTGACTCGGCTGTACTTCGTGGCCCGCGCTTATCGAACACAGTCGCATCGTGTCATGGGGTAGCAGTGCCGAAAGTGCACGTGCTCAAGTGCTCTTGCCTTTTACACGACTACTGTTCCAGTACCGGCGAAACACGTGATTTTGTGTGGCATATATCATCCGGATTTTCGTTGGATTCCGATTAAACCCAAGAGCAGCCATGCGGACATCGTTGGTTCTGTGCGCGACGTTCTTGCTCTTGCTCTGGCGCCTGTGGAACTACCTCGTGCCCCTGCAACAATTGGCAAGGATCCTCGGTTCCACGTGGATCGCACTGACGCTCTCTTATTATCTCTCGAGGTTTGTGTGGACGCGTCTCTTTGTGGCCGAGATATCCGGAGATGGGAAAGCTGTGCTCATCACAGGTAAGTGCTTCCTTTGACGGCTGCTGGCAGACGGCTACAGTTAGTTACAGGCTACAGTTCGTCCATTTGAATTGTTTTAGACATAAATACACAGTGTGGAAGCATTGAAGGTCATCTTGTAACTTGGAAGTGCGGCAGCTTGGGCTAGTTGGTATGTCCATCGTGTTTTTAGACATAAATACACAGTGGGGAAGAATTGAAGGTCATCTTGTAACTTAGAAGTGTGGCAGCTTGGGCTAGTTGGTATGTCCTTCGTGTTCTTATTGTCTCTGTGTTGGCGTTTTGTTCTCGCGCTATAGCTATCGACACCTTGTAAATTTCAAAAGTGTGTTCGACTAAAACCTGTGGCTATTTGACTGACAATGCCATATATTTTTTCTTGTTTTTTTTGTTTGTGCATTAACAACTTTCGGTATCAGGACAATCTACATTCTCGAAGCGCTAACCCCGGCCCTCCCCGAGCACTATATATGAGAGATTTGAGTTGTGCCTGCATAAGCCAAGCTAGAAGCTTATAACTACCAGCCTTCTCAACGCCCGGCGGGCTTCTTTTATCTGCCGCCTGCTAAGGGGTGTCTGCCTATCATGTACAGACCCTTCCCGACCAACATCCCGAGATGTGTTTGTCCATTCTGTCAAAGTAGAGAGGACCTGCTTCATATCTTCTGACAGTACGCTATCCCTAAATCTCTGCTTCAGATGATAGCATGATTTGTTCAGTATCCTAGTGAGTGAGTGAAACAACTTTATTGCTGATTCAGCATAAAGGGGGAAGCGGTAGGAGAATTTCTTATCTCATGGTCAGGTATGTCAACCGCCTACCTCCTCACGCGGACAACCAAAGCACTCAACGAGAAGAATCACGAACTGGTTGTCCGTGATTCTTCTCGTTGAGTGCTTGCAAAGGTGTAAATGGAGCAAGATGGCAAGTTGGGCCAGTTGGATTATGTTCATAATTAAAAAAAATTGTTGAAGCGCACTAAAAAACAGACGGACAGAAGAGGCTGACAAGGACAGCGCTTGCTAGTGAAGCCAACGAGACTGGGTAAGACAAAACACTAGGTTGTAGAGTTCCCTCGGTACTAGAAATATATTGCAGCAAGATGGCAAGTTGGGCCAGTTGGATTACGTTCATAATTGAAAATTCTTTGTTGAAGCGCATTAACAAAACAGACGGACAGAAGAGGCTGGTTTCATCTTTTCCGCGAATGGCACCGCCTTTGCGCGAAACAGTTTCTCGAAGTTCGGCACCGACCAGCAGATATTTTCAGTGAGTCAGGGGGGGGGGGGGGCAAATAAATATCTATCTATGATGGCGTCCCATCTAGCAACACGGCTCGGGGAATCTTCTCTTCTTTGTATTATTTGTTTATGCCTCACGTGCCTTGTTGGCGCCCGTTCAAGCCCCAGCACTTGGCGTGGTATTTATTTTTCCTTTCTGTTTAGCCCCCTCCACCTTTGCTCACCTCTGAGCGAGAATACGCTTGCCTCCTTACCTGCTCTCCGAGTAACTTCGATCGCTTCCACTCGCCCATTCGCCACGCTATGCACGCTCGTACGTCTGTTGCTTGCTTGCACAATGCTCTTACGCTCGTAATTCACGCCTCTTGGTGGCCGATACCAGCCGGCATATCTTCGTTAAGTCTACCTCGGGCGCAGTGATCTTTTTCGGCGTGTGCGACTGTAGCTTACCCACCTTGGAACGAGAGCTTACAGCCTTTAACCACCAGGTGGTACGGTTTGGCCACAGCTCGGTGCGCGGTGACTTCGGTTGCTGCGCTAAACCGTGCCCCCCTTTCCCGGGGAAGGCACCTAAGTTCTCGTTTGCGTGGGACCACGAGAACTGACGCGTCCATTAGGCGCTTCGAGCTGAACGGACGGGGCAAGCTGGTCCGGGTAGGACCACTTGCCCAAACGAAATCTCCCGTCCTGTGACCCGGGGCGGAAAGCTTGCCAGGGCGGCCTTATTGAATGACGAGGGGCCGATGAGTATGTTAGCTCCGGGACGAGGTGTCCTCGGGTGTCCAATTCCCTTTCCCTTGTGACAACGGCAAGGAGGCTCGTATATCTTGTGCCGAAGCCTTCACCCCAGATTTACATGTCTTACAGTCAGGAGCAGAATCATTGGAAGCATGTGAGACATTCTGTTAGATATAAATTTCATTTCATGTCTAAGCATCAATAACACGTTTTATTGACATATGTAGCTAACATGCACATTAACAGCAATCAAGCGTCTGTCTGTGCAAGAGTATTTTCTACAAAATTTACATCAGTGGTTTCACCTGACAATTAGAAAACTGTAAAATTAATTTTAATAATATCGAGTAAGCAATCTTACTGCTTTTTTTGATAGTACAGAACATCCCTAATCGGGAAAGGTGTTCATCAATTTACATCAAGAAAAGGCTGAATTCGCAATTTTTTACTTTAGCCTTCGTTCCGTCACCCGATGCTTGTCTTGGGATACTGATATTAGTTATGAAGCAATAATCAATCAGTTAAATTCGATTCGGTATTTCATTTTTTCCCCTTCAAGGTTTTCCTGTTGTCTTTCTCGGTGAATGAGCCGCTAGGGAAACTGGCTGCAGACCTGTGAGTCGTGGGTTTAATCCTGGTCACGGTGGTAGCATTTCGATGGACGTAAAATGGTAGAGCACCGTGTACTATGCAATGTCAGTGCGTTGCAAAGCACACCAGATGATCAACATTCCTGGAGCCCTCTACTACGGCGTCTCTCATAATCTCGTCTTCGTTTTAGGACGCAAAAGACCACATACTATTAAAAAGGTTTGCTGTTTGCAGGCTGCGACACCGGATTCGGCAACCGCTTGGCTAAACGACTGTCACGTTGCGGCTTTTTGGTGTTCGCCGGATGCCTGAAGAGCGACAGTGACGGCGCCAACGAGCTTAGGAGCATCCGCAACGTAAAAGTCCTGCCTCTTGACGTCACAAAGCAAAATCAAGTGGATGACGCACTGGTGTCGGTAAAGCAAAACATCGGCAACAGAGGTACGCCAGTGTGTTTTCTTTTGTTAAGTATCACTGTGTTTTTCCGTTCGCATGCGGAGCTAATTACTGCCTCATGGGTGGGCAAACGGTGACAATTTGTCATGAGCGGAGATTTACAAATTTTAACACAAATAATTATACAGTTCATGTCGCATTTCACATAAGCGAAACACTGCAGTGTATTGCATTTAGTCAGTTTATACGGTTGGTCAATATGTGCGCTTACGCAGGAGGGCATAGAGGCGCAAGATAATGGCAGTATAAAGAAAGTATGAAACAATGAATTAATGTGAATGGTAGACAAAAAAGGTGTTGCCTTTGGCCACGTTAAAGAAAACTCCGTTATTGTCTTAAACTAGTGAACAAAATGAAGAAAATAAACGTACAGATGAAAGACTTTTTCGTGAAAAACACTGAGCAAGTAACAAAACAGTGCGAAGATGCAACAAAGTGTAGCACATTAAAGAAATTCATGACGAAACAAGTGCCAGAAAGTACGAATACTCAGGAACGACACAAGGTGAGCGCTTTCTTAGTGTTCGTACTTTTGGTCGCTTGTTTCGTCACGAAATTATACCGACATGCCCAACTGGCATTCATCCTAAAAAAATTCATCCAGTTCCGCTTCGTGTGCACTGATTACACAGTGAAAATGATGGTGATCTATTCATCTATCACACTCATTTAGTATCAATGTGTCTTTCTGTTTCCATGCGGAGCTAATTTCTGCCTCACGGTCAAGCAAATAGTGGTCTTTCAGATTTCTTGTATCACTGCTCTTTCTTGTATCAACGCTCTTTCTGAGGCTTTGAGATGGTGGTATAGCCACCCCCACATAGTAGTACCACGTAAGTGTGGTGCGACTACGTTGGGGTGCACACTATTTGTTGGGCTAACAGTTGCCTTGTTCCTTCTTTAGTGGAAGCTGTGTGTAGTATGATTCACCCGACTTCGGTGGTCAATACCTGCGTATGACAATAGTTTTATGATAGGCTAATACTTCAATATATGTCATTCTGATATATGCCAACACTGCAAGAAGCCTCTAGCCACACACAGACACTTCCTATGGGACTGCGCGCCACCGCCAGGTAGTCGAGAAGCAGTGCCAACTAACATCAGCTGCGAAATCATCAGGCGAAAGCCAGGCTAGAGAGAAGTGGTTATAAGAGGGAAAAGAAAAGAAAAGTGAGCCCCGTAACTGTCTGCATCAGGGTGCGACACCTCAACAGTAGCTCACAAGGGATAGGGGCGAGGAGGGATTAAAAGGATAGGATTAAAGGTAGAGCTGGGACAGCGAGCGAGGACACATGAGGGATAGGAGAGATAGGAAAGATGGAAACTCGGTCACAGGAGTCCGAAGATGGGCACCACTTGCGAGAGCTCTTGTCGGCGTCAGGAAATGGCGTAGGACAAGTCCAGTAGGTCAGAGCTACGCTATCGTCGGAGATCGGCGTCAGGGGATGATGCAGAGCCAGCCGAGTCGGCCACAGCTACGCTGACGCCTGAGATCGCGAGGGCACAACCGGTCGGCACGGTATTTCGCGAGCGAGTGAAAGCCAGGCTACCAAAGAGACGTGGTACAGGACGTGCTTAGCATCATGAAACGCCAGCGGAGGAAAGTGGTAGCCCCACGGATTTGACGCGAAGGGATTGCTGCTCCGGGACGTCCGAGCACGCGAGTGTCTCGCTTTCATTCCACTACCCCTTCCCCCTTGATGCCGGATCTTCAATAAACTTGTTTCACTCACTGATAGGCCACACAGATTTCTATGACACATAACGGTTTGCTGGACTGTCACCTTAATTTTCAGTGCACCAGTGCTGAGTGGTGGAGCTTACCCAAGGTCCGTAGCACGTACCCGTGTAGGATGCTCACCAATGTTACCACGGATCTCGAACATCAAAGGCTCGACCAAGAGTAGCTTCCTAGTTGAACAATGAAGAAACAAAAGTAAAACGCTAATATATAAGAAAAAGTGCGCATAGTTAAGGGACAGGTAAGCGCTAGTGGCGCGAAAACCGAGAAAAAAGTGAACCTATTGGTCTTCTCGCTCTTTCGAAATGACGGCTAAGCGGGCTTGTTGGCCATTACACGTAGCTATTCTAAACAGCGCAGAAACGGTACATACAAGAGACCGCACAACACAAGTGCTAGAAATTATGTTATTGCAGATCGTGTAATTTTATACATATATTCAAAGAATTTTATTCCAGTCCTGAGGGACAAGGCTGAGAGAGGCCAAGAGACCCCCCAAGTCAAGTCAGTGGCTTCACTCTTGTCGGGACCAGGGGGTGATGACTTTCAGTGACGACACGAGCTCTTTGGATGGCCCTGGAGCCTCCATCATCAAAAAGCATTTGGACCAGCGCTTGTGCGAGACCGTTGAAGCGTTCGTTATTTATAAAGCGGGGCCCTGCTTGCGTTAGTTCACCATCCATCCAGTTACTTCACGAGGAAATAGCATATCTACAACATTAACGCCTTCAAAATCCTGTAACTCCTGGTCATTCTTTCATCGTGTTTATCACGTGTTTTTTCTGGTATTATTCTGCCTATTATTCTTCGCGTTCGCGCCATAAATTTCTGTTGGAAGTCAGTGCCACTGTTGTGTGGTCTCTTCTGTACCTCCTGTAACTATTTCTTTTCGCCTGCTTACCCTCCTTCTCACCTCAGTTTTCTTCCCTACCCTCTTGCTCTGCTTTGATATACATTACTATGCTAGGCTTTACCCACTTTATCACCGGTAGGCTTATCCTATTTAGTTGCTACATGTTTGGTAAATGTATCACTTGTAGTTACAACGCTTATATGCATCACTAAATTATCTGAACAGAGAAATTATTTAAATATAATGTAGCAAAGTGTTAATCTAATGTGCCCGTGTTCCTTATACAAAATACTAATCAGCGCTAACGGAACACACTGCCGAGGAAAGTATAGGGCATGTTATTAAAAGTAGTTGTAGTATAAATGTGGAGAAATTAGACGAAACGATGCCCCACAGTGTGTGTGAGCCATAGGTTTTGGCCATCATCTTCGTCATCATCAAAATAACTGCCACCGGCAGAAACCGAACCTGCGACCTTCGAATGACGCGTGCGATGCTCTACTACTGAGCTACCGCGGTGGTGGTTATCTTTGCGCCCACTTTATAAGATGGGCGGAAGGCGTAATGAATCATTATTTGTTCATATTTGTATTACACTTGCTTCTAATGACATCTCCTACACTTTCCCTTGTGTTATAGTCGGTTCGTTCTCCTTAATGTTATGTCAAAAACTAGAATATGAATGACTCGCATAAATAAATACAGAAGTTATGTGTGTTTAGTTGGGCATTCATTTAATTAATAATGAACGTACATTGTTTCTTTCTTGAATGCGCTAAGACTCAAGATGTCTCACTGCCGCACTATATTCTCCTCCGGTCCGCAGTGCTTTGGTCAGTGGTCGCCAACGCTGGCATCGGAAGCTGCGGCCTCCTGGAGTGGCTGACAATGGAAACTGTGACCAACATTTTCGACGTCAACGTTTTCGGGGCACTACGGGTCATCAAAAAGTTCCTGCCCCTCCTCAGAAGAAGCCACGGAAGGGTCGTCACAATTGCGAGCCCTTTCGGTAGGCCATGCGATAGCTTATAGGTGTCACCGCCTGGTATCTTCGCGTAAGGACCCGTCTCGTGAGGTCGGTAATGAAACTGGTACCAGTACCGATACTGACGCCACCTGACGTGACGTCAGTGACCTAACACTTTCAAAAGTTCAGACAGATAAGGCGTTCTGACGATGGTATGTGCGCCTCAAGAAACGTCGGCCAGCGTTTCTGGTGCCCTAGTCGTAGTTCAGAGAGCCTGTAAATTCTGAATCTTCGTATATCTACGCAGGCCACTTCACAAACCCAATGATCGTGCCTTACTGCATGTCGAAACACGCCGTGGTATCCATGATGGATGGTCTTCGCATGGAATGCCATAGTAGTGGTGTGGACTTTGTCATCGTGGAGCCTTCGGCTTACCGGTAAGTGTGCAGTGGGCATTGGACACAACTCTCAGCAAAGTTCACTGTGCGAACGTTTCTGATACTGTAATCCATTCATAAACATCTTTCCTTACTTATGCAACTGGCGAGAATGTTTTCAAATAGCGCGATGTCGACTCGAGTAAGGCCAGAGGCCTCAGCAATAACACACCGATGCATCTGAGTAAATCTATCAGATATACTCAAAAGGGTTGCTTCACTAAATGTGTCCTATATGTGGTGTACAGCATTTCGTTGACCTGTGATAAGGTATGCATTGGTCGAACCGGCTGCGGTGTATTAATACTGGCATGCTTGAGCATAC